GAGGAATATAATTTCATATTTGTATTCTATTCATTATATCGTGTTCGGATGCTACAACACACCTACTTTATGTATTTACAGGATCTATTCGGATCTCTACCTAATATCTAGAAATATATGTAATCGTGTATGACAAAGCACTGTACTCACTATTCTATATACTTTCATTAAAATCGTATTTGGATGCTATAACTCACTTAATTTCCGGAATCACCTGTCCGATTCGGTGAGTCTGTCATACGTTAATTTATTTATTTTTTATGACAGTATATTTTGTCGCCGTTAATATCTTCCTGCTATTCTTATCCATTGCTTTTCGACACTCACTCACTTTCGCATCTTAAAATGACTGGAAGATGCAACAAAAGCATTTGCCACCGCCCAGGATGTCGATATCCTGTTGATAGCGGCATGCAGTGCGATGAGTGCAAAGGTTGGTACCACGATGTTTGCACGAATCTAACACCTGCAGCTTTCAAGCGGTTTAGTAAAAATGGATGTGTATGGCTATGTCAACAGTGCTGTTTGGATGCAAATAGCCTGCTAACCGAGGCCATTTCAATAGTAAATGCCGCAAAAAAGTGTCTCGGCAAGCGCGGTCGGGATACATCAGTCAGAACTCAATCTGTCGACACGCAGATTGACACAAGGCAGACCCAAGTGAGTCCAAAAACTGCCGACCCACACCCTACTAAGGAGGAAGAACATCCTCCAAAGAGGACTGTTACAACCAGAAACTCGCGCAAAAAAGTCTCTTCTGTCCCTCGTATCAAAAATGGTACCCAAAAGGGAACTTCAGGAAGCCGAAACCGCAAGGCTCGATCGGTTTCCAGCGCGAAAGATGACCCGATCTCCCAAGTCGTCCTGACTCTTCCGGAATCCCACAGTACGCCTGACGCGAATGTGGTTACCACTCCAAAGAACGTTGGCGATTGGGTACGGGTCGTAAGAAAAAAACGCCAAAATGACGTAAAAGGAAGTCATACCCCCACCAAAAGGGTCGACAAGCCGAGGTCTGATCACAGCGACAGATCAGTCATTCTTCATAGAGTCAAGGAGAGTGACAACTTAGAACCGAAAGCTCGTTTTGAGCATGACATTGTGTTGATAAAACAACTACTCAACCAAGTTATGCCCAAAAACATCCCCGGAGTCACCTTGCTAAAGGTGTATAGATTAGGAAATCTAGCGCATCTGAAACCAAATCAGTCTAGACTACTCAAAGTCGTTTTCAAATCCTCAAACGAACGCGACTTAATCTTAGAAAATGGACACAAATTAAAGGGTTCAGGAGTTTTTCTCCGTAAGGACTTACCGTTGGCGGACCGTGTTAAAAGACGGGAAGCCGAAAAGGAACTACAGCTCAGATTAGACGCTGGCGAAAAAGACCATGAAAATTGTAAATTTTCGGGTTGTGAGGCTTCGACAGAGGATGATGCCGAAGCCACTCTGGGTGAAGCACGAGGCCACCTAAATAGGCTTCGGATCTGTTATACCAACGCCCGGAGCTTACTAAATAAGCTACCGGAACTAGGTGCACAGATTGACTCAACTAGGCCAGACATAATCGCAGTCACAGAAACATGGCTGACGCCGTCTATAGATAGTAGGGAACTTGATTTTGAGGGTTTTACATTGGTAAGGGCCGATAGAATACAAACGCGTAAAGGAGGGGGAGTAGCTCTATTCATTAGGAATGCTATTCCATTCACCATTATCGACAGTGTATCCCATGAGAGTGGGACGTATGAATTAGTTTGCTGCCGCCTGAAATGCAGGGGACAAGAGTTACTACTTAGTTTGATCTATCGCAGTCCAAGCTGTGAGGCAAACGAGGTCCTGCTAAGCAGTCTCAACACTTTATCACGAAGTGATCGATGTCTAATCTTAGGGGACTTCAATGCACCCATGGTGGACTGGGGAAATCTTCGGACTGAATCGTCAGCAAACTCCTTCGAACAGGAACTAGTTGATGCGATAATCACTTGTGCTCTAGTGCAACACGTGAAGGAAGCAACTAGGTACGACCCGGGTTCTGCATCATCCTTACTAGATCTTATATTGACTCATTATGAGGATGATGTTGCAAACCTGGATTACATGCCACCCCTAGGCAAAAGTGATCATGCAGTTTTAAGCTTTGACTTCCATATAACTGTCGATCACGAGTACGCTTCAGCTCAATCCAGACCTAACGTCTGGAAAGCTAACATAGCAGACATCATGAAATCAGCATCATTAGTAGATTGGAAATTAGATCCAGAGTCATCAATCGAAACGGCTTGGGACGTATTCCGGAATTTATACTTAAAAGTTACCACCCCCCACATCCCTTGGACTACACCTAAAAGACCGAGAAACTCCCCACCGTGGTTCAGTAGGGTGGTTCGCATCGTTCTCCGTAAAAGAAGGAAAATGTGGGACAGATTTAGGTTACTGGGGACTGACGAGGCAAAATCTCAGTATCAAAAGGCTCGAAATACCTGTGCCTCGACCCTCCGTAAGGCCAGAAAGCTGTACGAAGAGAAAATCGTAAGGGAATCCATAGAATGCCCCAAACGCTTGTATTCGTATACAAACCAAAGGACAAAAAGAAGAAGAAATGTTCCTTCATTATGGTGAGACAGTACTGCCACATCACTAGTGGAGGATGACTTTGGCAAAGCTCAAGTATTCTCTAAATACTTTAGCGATGTATACACCATAGAAACACCCTTCTCACCAGTCCATGAAAATCCACCCACACAAGCACTGGACAGCGTAACCATTGAAGAACTCGATGTCTTTGGTCTGCTAGTTAAGCTTGACATAGGTAAATCCACTGGACCCGATGAACTGCATCCTAGGTTACTAAAGGAATTAGCTAACTTTGTTGCGAACCCTTTAAGTGTATGTTTTAATCTATCCGTAACCCAGGGTCGTCTACCAAAAGACTGGAGGAACGCCAAGTAAGTCCAGTCTTCAAAACAGGTATAAAACATAAGCCTGAGAATTACCGACCAATTAGCCTAACTAGTGTGGTTGTTGAAATCTTAGAAAAGATTATTCGGAAGGAACTGTTAAAGTATCTCGATGAAAACCGGATCCTCTCCGAAAAGCAGCATGGTTTTAGAACAGGTTACTCTTGTCTCACAAACTTATTAGTCGCTCGTGAAAGCTGGTGCGCTCTTAAGGACCAAAAATTACCTATAGACGTACCTTACATCGATTTCAGCAAAGCTTTCGACAAAGTTCCGCATAACCGGCTGTTATATAAGCTAAGGAATGTCGGGATTGGAGGCAATCTATTGATGTGGATAAAAGACTTCCTAGTTGGGCGTCAACAAAGAGTAAGGGTGAACTCCAAGTTGTCTAGCTGGGAAACTGTGCTTAGTGGAGTCCCCCAGGGTACAGTTTTGGGGCCAGTGTTATTCCTCCTGTACGTAAATGATCTCCCTCGTCTACTATCGTCATCGATCTTACTCTATGCTGATGATGTCAAGATATGGAGAGCGATACAAAGCAAGAGCGATAGCTTAGAACTTCAAAATGACCTGGAGAGATTATCTGAATGGTCCCAAACCTGGCAATTGCCGATAAACACTTCCAAGTGTATTGTGATGCATATTGGCCATCAGGGTACAGATACATACACGATGAATAACACTGAGTTACCTATTGTTCAGGCACACAATGACTTAGGCGTCATCGTTAGTCAAGACTTAAAGACTACTGCACACTGCCGTGCAATAGCCGCCAAAGGTTTTAGGACTTTATGGTCCATACGCAGGGCTTTTAGGCATCCTGACGCTAAAACGTTTCTGACTTTGGATACAGTGTTCGTACGCCCTAAACTTGAGTACTGTATACAAGCAGCTAACCCCTGCCTAAAAAAAGACAGTGAACTCTTGGAAAGAGTTCAGAGAACAGCAACTAGGCTGATTGCCGGAATAGCGAAGCTCCCGTATGGTACTAGACTGACCAAGCTAAACCTATTCCCGCTGTCATATAGAAGAATCAGAGGTGACTTGATTATAGTTTTCAAATTGCTAAATGACAAATTTGCACCTGATATGCCCTCATTTTTCTTGTCTTCCAAAACAGAAAATCTACGAGGACACTCCAAAAAAGTTCACAAGCCCAGAACGAATTACTTGTCAGCTGACTACCGACTTTCCCATCGAATAATCAACTAGTGAAATTCATTACCTCAGCACGTGGCTGAGGCTCCATCCGTCGACTCCTTCAAAAGAAAGTTGGATCAGCTGAGAGACCATCATTGCCAGGACTAACACAGGCCACCAAGCCTCCTGTCCTTTCCAAACTGAAACTGAAACTAAAACTGATAGTTTCAACGAGACGAGCTACTCCGTTCATCCGGAAGCAGACAAGCTTTTACCAGTTGTCTTCATTCCAGACGTGTTGAAGACTCTGTTGGTAAACTATGATGATAATCACAACTGCAACTATGCGAATGATATTAAAAGACTGCAAGTTGACATGAACATTCTCAATCCCCCCAAGTATCTCATCAACCCTAACCTCACAGAGACTCCAGATCAAATGAATGACATAAATAACTTCTTAGATCGTGTTGCATCAGAGGTATTTGAAAGAATAAGGCGATCTAGCAATGCAATTGTGTTTAATATAGCGGACTCATATGCCCTTAAAAATATCAAAACTAGTCTGCTTAGAGCCAGCAATATGACACACGTACCATGTGTATGCTCAAGATTAAAAAGAAGTCACCCTGATATGCACCCACCGATCTTGTTCAAATTCAAGTCATCTGTAGACGCTAGTGAGTTTTTAAATTCCTCCAATTCATTGAAACAGATTTTCAAAGATATTAAAATTCTACCAGATAGAACACCATGCCAACGAAAAGCAGGCCGAGATAACCACAGACTATCAGCATCAAACACCCAATCGTATCATAATCCTAAAGGTCATAAAATTAAGTCCGATCCTAAGCGGACATCTAACTTTACGAATATGCAACCACCGGAAAACTCTCATGAATCTCCTAAAGTTCAAAGCCCAAAAGAAAGTAGTCTCAATGTAGGTGATGCCCATCCTTTTAAGAATGTTGACTTAGATTCAACCCTAAGTAGTTGTACTGATTTCGAATGGGATAACACAGTCAAAGTCGCTGTTAGTGCGACAACCAGTTACAGTGACTGTGCAACGGATAACGGGGAAACTGGTCATAACATTTTTCTGCCTGACCACACGCTTAACGTTGATAAACTCGAACCTTGCTAACCATCTCAAGCATCTTTAACAACACACGACCCTCCTCAAATTACGAAGGAGCCAAAATCAACCACAAACCTTGGAAATAAGCGTTTAGAACATGTTCCCTATACGTCAGGTATAAATAGCAATCTAAATTGTGAACGGCCACTTGGTCGCACACATAGACCTGATAGCCTTCTTGGTCCGGCTCCCAATGTGAATACTATTCCTTTACCAAATGTTATATCCAATAATAGTGGGAAGACTTTTTTTGTACTTCCGCCGGCTTTTCTGCCGGCAACAATAAACATACTTCAAATGATGACAAAGTTGTTGAATCTATTTCCGATCGCAACACAACTCTCACCTTAGCCAATCCTACGAGTATTCATGTAAGTACCAATTGTGGTTTATACTCTAACCTGATTCACCATGGTAATTCTCAATTTCTTATTCTTTCGTTCAATGCCCGCTCTCTGCCCAACAAAATTACTCACCTCAAAACCCTTTTATTGCTTGCAAACTATTGTACTTATTACGGAAACATGGTGCAATTCATCTATATCCGATCACTCCCTGCGTATAGATAACTATGTTTTCTTTAGAACCGATAGATGTAATGGATTAGGAGGCGGTACACTTATCTATGTCCGTTCGGATATTCAGGCTTGCAAATTTGAGAATAAATCCCTTGATGCTATAGACGACTCCACCTGGGTTACTGTAAACTGTGGATCTCAAAATTATCTACTGGTGGGATGCATATACAGACCACCCCATGCAGACTCTAGGTTTGACAGATTACTAACAAACATCTTTTCCATTGCTTCACACCAACCGCATACTTTTAAAATCATCGGAGGTGATTTTAATCTGCCAAACATTACATGGGATTCGACTCCGGTACCAGGTCGACAGGACAAGTTAGATGAAACACTAGAACTTTATGGATGGGTCCAACAGGTCCGACAACCGACTAGACAGAATAATATACTTGATTTACTAATTACAATCAACATAGATTCGATCTCGGTGCATATCAGTCATGAGTTTTTTAAGAGTGATCACAGAGTGGTATTGTGTATCATTCATTCTCTCGACGCCATACAATTGAATTCTAAAGCTGGAATGATGTACAAGAGTAGATATTTTGATCAACAAACCTGGAAACGGACTGAAAGTCTTATTCGTTGTTTACTATGGGAAACGTATTTTACCACAAATAATATTGACATTGCGAACTCTGATCTATACCACAACTTGATACACTGCCTCGACTGCACTGCTCCAATTATTAGCCATGTGGCTTATAACGCCAATGGGGGCCAGAATAATTTTAAAACTTTGAAAAGAAAGCTGAGGAAACTAAAACACCGTTACCACAAGCATAATGACTTGTATACACTACAGAGTATACTTAAGTTAATTGACAAGAGTGCTTCATCTAAACGCAAGTATTTTATGAATATAGAAAATAAAGCCCTAGGTAATGAAAGCCCAGAATTATCAATACTTCGGCTTTTTAAATCGCGTGTGAAGTCAAATTCTCTTGGCGTGACCAAATTCTTCATAGTTAACGGAAGATTTATTGATGACCCAGATATTATTTGCGAACAATTCAGTCAGCTTTTCTCACAGTGCTATAACACTAGAACTGAAAGCTGTGTCAATACATTTTCAATGCTGACGTGCAGACACCTGTCGAAAATTGATTTTGTACCCTCCAACATCAAGCAGGCCGTAACTGCCTTGAAAAAATCCTATGACGGTGGACCTGACGGGATTCCCTCATCATTTGTGAAATATGGTAGTAGAGAATTCCCACTATTTTGTTAAAAACTTTTCAATCTATCTATGGAATATGGGGCCTATCCATCTGTATGGAAAACATCTCTTATCACCCCCAAATTCAAAACCGGATCACGCAGTGATATTGTTAACTACAGACCAATTAATTTGACATCCGTGCTGTCAAGAACTATGGAAAAAATCATCCACAAACAGCTATTATCATTTTTGCTTTCGGCTAATCTGATTAGCCCATCCCAACACGGGTTTATGACCAAACGCTCATGATTCACATCGCACCTGGAATTTTTTGATCAAATTACCCAGAGAGGAGATGTTCGTTAATTGGTGATAATTCTGTACTTCGACTTTAGTAAGGCCTTCGACAGTGTCTCACACAAACTTCTTCTTATAAAACTCTCTTCATATGGAATACAGAATCCCCTTTTATCTTGGATCAAGTCATTTTTAGAAGAACGTAGCCAAATTGTCCGCTTTGGATCTTGCTACTCCGAACCTGTGAATGTAACCAGTGGGGTTATACAAGGAAGTGTAATTGGTCCATTACTATTTCTCCTTTTTATCAATGACGTTTTTTCCCTCTTTCAATATGGTAAACCTTTTCTTTTTGCCGATGATCTAAAAGTGGTTTATTCATTCTCATCTCCCACCAAAGAAAGCTATATTTCAACGGTAATCCAAGAGGAAATAAACAAGTTGTACGAATGGACTATTTCGTGGAATTTGCCACTTAATGTTGACAAAAGTGGGTTTATTAACATCGGCCGCTGACTTAGCCTAAATCTGGCTATACACAAACATACACTGAAACCTCTCAACACTGTTCGTGACTTGGGTTTAAGATATATCGACAGTTTGAACTTTTCTGAACACATTGCATCTCAAGTATCCAAAGCTAGAAAGCTCATCGGATTCATAATCATTAATTTCAATAATACCGAATCGAGATTATTATTACTCATCAGATTCATAATCATTAATTTCAATAATACCGAATCGAGATTATTATTATTCTAAGGATTCCAAAAACACACACAAATTTACGTCAGAATGTTTTCGTTATTCACTACTCAACCATGTGGAATACACTGCCAATGAACCTTCGATGCAGTGAAACTGTAACCCGGTTCCGAAGTCTTCTTGATGATTTTCTTTCCGAAAGTGGATTGTGTCACCTATTGAATATCAACGTGCTTAACAATGATATATACAAAAACGGTCCGTCATCTATCTAACTGATTGAAAAGCAAAGTGAAACCTTTGAAACTTTTCATGCCTATTCTATTTCATTTTTATTTATCTAAATATATGAAGTCTGCTTATGTTCCTTTTTATAATTATTACTGTTATTATTATCATTATTGGTCTCTCGACACATTAGATATTCTTTTCATCTCTTCTTGTCCTTCTAAACATATTTTATTCCTAAACATCCAAAGTCTACAATTAAAAACAGAAAACCCCTATGTTCCACTTAAACAAATTCATTTGTTTTAAAAATCTTCACAACATATATATAGCATATAGAAATTTATATTTAAATTATCCTTTGCAATTAATTGTGACTATGATAGCATCATTCTAAATTATTATTATTGCACTAATGTTTATACTACAACCCGGTTTCACTCTGTATACTGCTACACGTATTTATCCGTAAGGGTTTATTATTGTTGTCATTATTATTTTAAAATTATTCGTTCATCTCAAAAGTCTATATCCATTATACTATTATGATCATGGTTGGACCCTTTCACTATGTGTTCATTTCTTTTCTTTCGCTCTTTTTTTCCCTTCTAATTAAATATTATTCTTAAGATTACGAAGCTTTGGATTGAGACAATAACTTGAGTTACGTTGAATTCAACTTATCAGACTCGTTTTATCTTCACTAATGTATGTACACGACTAATACAGATTGATTATCTTTTGCACTTAACTGAAACTTTCATAGCATCACCCAAAACTATGACTGTGTGTGAGGATGGTCCACAAGTGTTAAGTCGGCTTCCAGAGAACTCTAACAGAGCCTTCAGAGACTCATAAAGAGCCTCAACCAATCAGCGATTAATTAGAAGTTGTGTGAAGTTATATATACCAGCTAAATATCGTAATAAACTAAGACGCCTAAAGAAACGTTATTTTATATCTAACGACTTCACGGCAGTCACACAAATAACAATAATTTTTAATCAAATTAAAGAGAAACATAGGTTAAAAGCCATCAATAAAGAGATATTAGCACTAAGTACTAGCTCAAAAGTGCAAAACCTAATCCACCTTTACAATAAACGTGCTAAATCAACTCAAAATGTTGATATACCATGCATCCTACATAATAATAGTTTTATATATGACCCAAAAACTATAGCAGGTTTTTTCAGTGATAATTTTGCGAATGGCGAAAAATCCATAAATGGCTCTGTTTCTAGAGTTATATGCTTGACTGGTAACTCAATAAAATCTATCTCCTTCACATGCCTGAAAATTAGTAAGGCCTTAAATAACCTCAAGGTTTCGAAAGGTCACGGAGCAGACGGGATTTCATCATTTCTCTACAAATATGGTGGTCCAGATATCCAACTTCTTCTCCTTAAACTGTTTACCCTCTCTATGGAATCAGGCTCTTATCCTGACCATTGGAAAACCGCGTACATCATACCACGTTACAAATCCGGAGATAAGACTGACATGAACAACTATCGGCCAATAAATATTACTCCAGTTATCTCTAGGATTATAGAAAAAATTATTAGTGACGAACTATCCAACTATTTATTGACTGAACAATTTATTGGTGTTTCGCAACATGGATTCCTTAAAAGTCGATCCTGTATGACATGTCATTTTGACTTCTTTAATTTAGTCTATTCTCTTCGTAGCCAAGGATATCTAGTATTAGTGCTATACCTGGACATTTCTAAGGCCTTCGACATGGTCAACCACCAACTTCTCATAGGTAAACTCGCTTTTTATAGGGACCTAAACCCGTTACTAGCCTGGTTAGATTTCTTCCTCAGCAATCGACATGAAATAGTTAAAATGAACTCTTAATTGTCGAATGACGTCCCTGTTAGAAGTGGGGTAATTCAGGGTCCTTTGATCCTTTTAGTTTTCATTAATGATATTTGTGAGTGTTTTAGTGTGGGTAAGTCCCTTTTGTTTGAAGACGATCTTAAGGTGGTGTATTCATTTTCTCCACATGAGCTAAGCAATATTCAAAATTGTGTCAGCACGGAGCTTAACAAGGTAGCACAGTGGTGCTCGAAATGGCAACTGGAGCTTAATACAGCTAAATGTGGATGGTTATGCTCCGGTGATACATTACTCAACCTCGATCATACCATAAATAGTGAACTGTTATCTAGGTTACACACAGTAGTAGATCTAGGACTTAGGTACTCCGACGACTTGTCGTTTACTCAACAGACAATGAAACAAACGTCCAAGTCTCAACGCATCATAGGTTACATGACTCGGAACCTTCATAACAGCGAATCTCGTATAATAATTTACAAAGTCTGTGTTCGACCACTCCTCGAATACTGCGCGTTTCTCCTTAGTAGCACGCGCATAAAGGATAAATTAAGACTGGAATCAGTACAGAGACGATTTACACTTCGTACTCTTAGAACTGATAGTGTCTTGACATATAATTCGAGGTGTAGTAAACTAGGGCTTGACCCTTTATGGAAGAGGAGACTCAAACTTAACCTTATCTTCTTTTTCAAAACACTTAACAAACTCTCCTTCACATCCAGCCAGGTGATTCAATATGCTAGAGCCTCACATTACGACATTCGTAACTCCTTGTCTTTAGCGAAACAAACATATTCTAGATCTTCTCTCTATATGAATTACTTTACCTGTAATTTTTTTAGGCTCTGGAATAATTTACCTCAAACTATCCGTATGTTAAACTCTCTCCCATTGTTTGTTTGTTCGATTAATGCCTTTTGCTCCCCTGAAAATGTATTAAATGTTCTAGCGCCTGTAAGTGCATCTTACTCCACAAGTGAGATTATCGGAACTTTAAGTGTTTAACCTCTTACTTGCTATCATTGTTTTGTTGTTCCGTGCTCTTTGCTTTAATCTTACTTTCTGTAGTTGTAGATAATTATCAATAACTCGCTCTGGCACTGGGAACAACCTTACAGAACAACGTTGATTAAACATCAGGCTATCCACTTAAGAAAAAATTTAAAGTTCCCTGGTGTTGCATTGGCTTGCCGTGATATATGCCATATATAAACTACTTATCAATTACTAAACCAGCAAGCATAAAACTTTCTTATATTTCATGTTTGCTCTCTACATTAAATGTTGATTTTTATAACAATCTAATCATGCCTGTAAACTGGTGTGAATTATGTAAACATTATTTTCAGAATATATTATTATTATTATGAACACTTTTGTTTCTCATTAACTGGTGAAAAACCACTTGATGATTCAGAACTTATCACAGCATCTGCCTGTGAGATTGCTAACGTACAGAATATCTCTAAGGCAATTAGTACATTGAAACACTCCTACACTGATGGACTAGACGGTATTTCGGCCAGCATGCTAAAACATGGAGGCGATGATATGTGTGTTTTATTACTCAAACTATTTGCAATATCACTCTCTACAGCGCGTTACCGTACTGTCTAGAAAACTACACACATCATTCCCAAAATTAAAACAGGACCTGGAGCAAATATCAAAAATTACCGACCCATAAACATAACTCCAGTGGTGTCAAGAGTGATGGAAAAGTAGTTAAGGTGGCGTGAGTCCAACATCTAATTACTACTAATCTCATCTTGGTCTCCCAACATGGATTTCTTGGGTCCAGATCATGTGATACATGCCTAGTGGGCTACATGAATGATATAACTCTGAAACGAGACAATGGACTCCTTGTATCAGACATATTTTCAGACTTAAAGAAAGCTTTTGATAAGGTCCCACACAAAAGGCTACTAGCCAAACTACGGTCCTTTGAAATCAACAATCCAATCTATTCATGGTTTGTTTAATTCTCAAAGGGACGTAAACAAATGGTAAAGTACAACGACTGTCTCTCATTACCTAAACCAATAACTAGTGGCGTCATCCAGGAAAGTGTATTAGGCCCACTTTTGTTTCTAATGTATATACGTAACATCATATAATCTAGGAAACCATATCTATATGCTGATGATCTCAATATAGTATACAGCTGTAAGCCTGAGGCTGTAAGTCAAAGTGTCCTCTGATTCAGGATGATCTTAATAACCTAACTATCTGGAGCGAAAAGTGGCATTTACTATTTAGCCTCCACAAATGCGGGATCATGCACTTTCGAAAGCACCCCATGAGTATTTTTGGTGCTTTTTATTAAGTCGAATACATTGACATGGACTGCCTCGGAGGTGAGCTGCATTTAGAATCGAATTCCTTACAGTTTTAATGACGACGTTGTCCAGTATATTAGAGATAATAACATTACTTCAAGAGATTATTCGCTTAGTGACATCACCACCTATAAATTTGATAACGGATTCTACTTTGATCCTGTCTTCAAGTTCTGAAGGAACTACATCCTTTGACAACAGCTGTTTAAGGGGTAACAGTGTCTTTAGTTCTAGCTTAAGATCATCATGCTTTAATAAAGAGCTCGCAAGTGACTCCACTTTAGAATGCATGTCGCTTAATTGCTTATAGACAGTGTCGAATTCAGTCTTAATATTATCGATACCCTCAGATCGTGGGTTGGAACACACTATAAAGTTTGGCACTGTGTCATCCAACAACAGGTGTGGTATATGTCCGCTACCACTATTATCTGATGTAACAGGAGTTGCAGAGCATGGGGTATAGGTTAGAGCAGAATTGTTATTATCTGAAAGGATAGGGCTTTTCCGGGCTCGTTGTTTTGTCAGTCGACCAATTTTTCTTCAAGGGTTAATTTAAA